GTGTGTGTGTGTGTGTGTGTGTGTGTGTGTGTGTGTGTGTGTGTGTGCGCGTGTGCGCGTGTGTGCGTGCGCATTCTCCTCTTGAGCAGGCCACACTGCGTCCAATCAGAAGCCTCAGTGATTGTGGTACACATACGTAACCTGCATTGGAGGTCTCTCTTTGCTGCACCACGACAATATATGATTGCAACTAATAACAAACCAAAAAGTTCCCAGAGCACACGTTGACATATTCAGTTGATTTGTTGACCATCAGTCCAAAATCTAAAGATCGTTGCAGCCGTAGTTATAGGAATAAACAGCTCCATCTATACGTAAACATATATCCCTGTGAGAATATGAACAGCAGGCTCCTTGTTGTTTTATGGTCCATACAATACATACAGTATAACTACATCACATGATACAGAGATGCAGTCTTACTCATTAGACCTTTGCTTTATTTTGAAAATCTTCCCTTTTCTGACTTTACCTCACTGGAGCTTCATTTGAATTGGCATATAATTCAACATGAATATTGTTACAATTAAATAAAGAACACGTTTGTATATGTGCAGGTTGAATGAAGGCGTCTCACAGACTGACTAATAAATGAACGGATAACGAATAAGGTGAACTGGTCACATATGGAACTTGACAGTCAGAAACAAGTTATTACAGATTCCCCACATGCAGAATAAAAGAGGAAGATTGAGCTTGAAGAAAAGAGATGAATCAGAACAGCTGCCTTATGATGGTGTGATTGATTTCTTCTATGTTGTCCTCACAGTGCTGAAAAGGGCCAAGAAGAGTAAGAATGACCTCATCAATGCAGAGGAAGGCGAGGACCACTTCACTGACATCTCCTCTGTTGGTGAGGACGACACCTGAGACACAACCTCCCAAACGTCTTGAAGAAAAGCCAAACAGCGAGTTCACAGCGCAGGCAGCTCGGTGGACGTGTTGCTCTATGGGACAGGTTGTCCCTAGTATAACACTGACTCTCATAGCGTACACCATTGTGTTGAGTTAAGGTAGCTTAGCACAAAGAGCTACATAGGCAACATTAGGAATATCTTAAGACAATACATTCAGAGTTTTCTATCAACTTCATCCGAGGATGCAGCCATTCTCCAAACACACTCTTCACTGTGTTCATGAAACAGCATCAGTGCTGAGTGAGGTCTTCTTCCTCCTTGTGTTGAGATGTTTTTAGAGCGCCTGAAGAGATCTCATTATCCAGCAGTTCCTAATTAACACCAACGATTCTCTCTCTTTCTTACCCCTCAGATGTGTCTTCACTGCATCAGTGCAGGTCCTACCTGACGTAGAATGAATAAGAATCTTCATGTTAATGTTGATTATCAAACTGATAAGGAAACCATGGGTCATATTCTGAATATCGAATGAGTTAGTGTGGATCTGCAGCTGATTCAGTGTGAGTCAGATGTCTGATTAAAATAGATGAGGAGATGAGGAGCCCACTCGTCCTCCTGTGCTAGTGATGAAGTTCTAATAGAGCTTCTCCTTCTCTTTTGTGTCCAGTCCCACTTGAGCTTTGGGCTTAATTTAAGTAACAGAAGGTTTGATGTAGTTCAGGCTGAAGGCACTGTGCTCTACACAGCTTCACTTTGCTACTTGGCAGGTAAAGCTCATGAGAATATGAAAAAGTTATTTTATATTTTCATTTCAGTTCATAATTCTTAGTGTTTGAGTGGAGCTCACCTCTCTAACGTATGGGCTGGATGTGTGTATGGAGCACACTGCTCTGCAGTTAGTCCACCCTCTTGATGTTGTGAGACCACCGTAGTTCAAGACTTGGTAACTTTATTGCATCGCGTATGTTTTTGCTCCCACTGCCCCCCCAGGCTCGCCGTTTGCCCGGGCCAGCTTGAAGAGCAAGAACGAGAGCTCGTCTTACTTCAGGAGGAAAGAGAAGAGGATGCGCTTCACAATCCGCCGTCTGGTCAAGTCCCAGAGCTTCTACTGGACTGTGCTGTGTCTGGTTGGCCTCAACACGCTGTGTGTGGCCATCGTACACTATGACCAGCCTGACTGGCTCACCTTTGCACTCTGTGAGTTCCAGCAGCTTATTCATAGTGAATCATTGTCATGTAACCCAATATTCCTATATGCCACTATTTATCCTACCAATATTATTATATTTGACCATTCATTTGAATGGGGGGGGGGGTTAGATTTCCTAACTTCAAGTCACTGTAACGTAACCTTGCCGGCATGCTATATTGAGTGAACCTGCTTTCTCTACTTCCTGTTTGCTTCCTCATCTGCTCAGGCATATAGAACACGTTGGTATCCTGCTTTAGACAGATGTGCAAACATATATCATACAAGTACTATTGTACATTTCAGCACATACACCTCACACACTCCATCATGGCAGTGCACAGCATTGTGTTCTCAAACAATAGACTCTTTCTATGTGTTATTTGCTGAGGGCACAGCTGAACGGGCAGCAGTAGGTGCTCTATTGAATGGTAGAGATGAGCAGGAGGCCCTCTTAAACCCGGGGCATTGATCTGTGTGTGTCCTTATTGTCCCTGCACAGACCTAGCAGAGTTTGTCTTCCTGGGCCTGTTTCTGGCAGAGATGTCCATGAAAATGTACGGCCTCGGACCCCAGAACTACTTCCACTCGTCATTCAACTGTTTTGACTTTGGGGTGAGTCATCCTGTTGAGCTGGGAGTTCAATCAGTCCCCAGTGGATGTCAGAGTGTGAGCATGCGTAGAGTCATTTAAAGGTTTTAGAAAGAATGCCTGTTTATGGCCAGAGTAGTACAATATCTGGAGCGTTTGGAAATGAAAGCTGTGTTTGCAGGTGATCATTGGCAGTATTTTTGAGGTGATTTGGGCTGCCATCAAACCCGGGGCCTCATTTGGGATCAGTGTCCTGCGGGCTCTGAGGCTGCTCAGGATCTTCAAAGTCACAAAGTGAGTCATCACGACTGTCTACCTGTGCGGGACACTCGTTATGCCAGAATATCGCTGCATCTCTTCATATGTCTGTGTGCGTAGGTACTGGAACTCTTTGAGGAACCTGGTCGTCTCCCTTCTCAACTCCATGAAGTCGATCATCAGCCTGCTGTTCCTCCTCTTCCTCTTCATCGTGGTCTTCGCTCTGCTGGGCATGCAGCTCTTTGGTGGCCAGTGAGTCATTTGTTTCTCCTGCTGCTGCTCATGAGTTCTACCGTTTGTTTAAGATTGATGCAATTTGCATAACAATTATCAAAGTTGTAACTCTGATCTGAACACCACTGTTCATAGATAGGAAAGAGGTAATATTCTGTGCCAGGTCATCCTCCACTCAACATCTGTTCTCCCCAGCTGCAATGCTGCTGCTGCAGCAGTCAGCAATGGGAGTCAGTCCATTACCTTCTGCACCTTATGTTAAGCAATAATTATTCATCTGTCAGAAGATGTTTGTTTGCCCGAATACACTGAACCATGAATATTTGGAAAATTTAAATATTTTTATTTACTTACTACTTTTATTATTGTTTTGTTGGTTTTAGTATTGTTTACTCAGCTAGTTATTATTGTTATCATTATGTATAGTAAATAATAATAAAACAGACATTACTGAGGCTCAGACTGTCCCAGTGTGTGTGTATCCCTGGAACACTGACGCTCTCCTCTGGTCCAATCATACACAGATAGAAACGCTGTGGACACAGGCAAACACTAATGCAAATTGCATAAAACATTTTAGAAATCAGCACTGTATCAGAGCATCACTGACTGATGACATTTCTGAGTAGACTTCAACCTATTTGAAAAAGTATTTATGAAAGGTGTGAGAATTGAGCAAAAGCAGTCCAGAGTTCAGAGATGAGATGAGATGGATGATAACTGATAACTCTTTCAGAAACATGCAGCAGCAAGTGTAAACATTTAAGCCAAAGATAATTAAACTAAACCATAAGGAAATAAACCCATATTACACATGCTGCTGGAACACATGCAGTGTTCTACCTCTACTGTCTTTTAATGAGATCTAGACTAAAGAAAAGTTCTCGTGCATTTTGAGAAGGCACGAGAATCGGGGCGTGCTCTCTAACTAGGTCCCGGTAGACACAGAATGTCAGCAATAGCACAGCTCATCTATTTAAGAAGAATAACCACTCAGAGATCAGCCGTGAGGGCACACAGACGACTCAGATGTAATCGACATATATTGTGCTGCAGACGATGAGCTCCTCCATCTTCCAGAAGGTGGAGGAGGGACTGTGACTGTGTTGTGGCTTTACAGCTTGATTACATTCCTCCCTGCAGATTTAATTTTGAAGATGAAACGCCGACAACCAACTTCGACACATTCCCAGCAGCGATCCTCACCGTGTTCCAGGTAAAGGTCAACTCCATCATGCTCTTTGCCTGCTCTGCTTGTACTGAACCACTGAACTGACTCAGAGACTGTGTCTCCTGCAGATCCTCACTGGGGAGGACTGGAATGCAGTCATGTACCACGGGATCGAATCACAGGGGGGCGTTCGCCGGGGAATGTTCTCCTCAATTTATTTCATCGTTCTCACTCTCTTTGGGAACTGTATCCTGCTATCACTGTTACCTCTGTGGTTGACTGGCAGCCGTGTCACTTGATTCTGTCTTTATCGATCTGATCTTTTCCTTACACCACAAATAACCAGACACGCTTCTCAACGTATTCTTGGCCATTGCTGTTGATAACCTCGCCAATGCCCAGGAGCTCACTAAGGTGCAGTATTCATTTATAGCTTGAGACACTCTGGCTTCATAGCTGATTACAGGAAGAGAGAGAGACAGAAGCACCGTCTCACCACCGCATCCTTCAGTAAAGTACTGTACCGCGCCGCTTTGGCCGATTGCTTACACACTTGTTGTGGAATTTGGCTGATTGGGTCAAAACTCAACACAGAAGCCAAAAGGGACACAAGAATATTTCACTTCCTGTCAAAATGAAACTCTGCATCCAATCCGATCAATCCTTTTTCAAAACGGCATTTTTGCAACAAAATGAAACACACGCGCATCATCTGAATTGTTCTGTCAAAGCAACAACATACTGCTGTCTTTGGTACTTTGTTTTTAATTTCCTTCATGTGTGTGTGTGTGTACTTCATGTGTGTGTGTATGTATGTTTGTATGTGTGTGTATGTGTGCATGTATGTGTGTGTACTTCATGTGTGTGTGTGTGTGTATGTATGTTTGTATGTGTGTGTACGTGTGCATGTATGTGTGTGTACTTCATGTGTGTGTGTGTGTGTATGTGTGTATGTATGTTTGTATGCATGTGTGTGTGTGTGTACTTCATGTGTGTATGTATGTTTGTATGCATGTGTGTATGTGTGCATGTATGTGTGTGTATGTATGTGTGTGTGTATGTGTGTATGTATGTGTGTATGTATGTGTGTGTGTATGTGTGCATGTATGTGTGTGTGTTTTTCCACACACTGTTCAGGATGAAGAAGAGCAAGAGGAGGCCATCAATAAGAAGCTTGCACTCCAGAAGGCCAAGGAGGTAAAGGAGGTCAGCCCCATGTCAGCCACTAACATTTCCATCACAGCGTAAGTCAACTTCTTCTAATGTTCGTCTCTCTCAGCACACACACACACACACACACACACAGAAGACAGGATTCCAGGCCTCTTTGTTCTGTAGCTATGTTGCTCTTGCTAAAGACCATTTCTGTGTAATGCCAATCCACACACTGTTATTCAGTGCCCACATATTGTTTTGGTTTGGATTAATAACTTTTAACTCTAGCCTAAATAATGTAAACAACATATATAGCAGACGGCAGAATATAAAACAACTCTGCACATAATAATTCAGCACTTCAATATTGCAACACACACAAGGAGCAGTCCATGGCTATAGCTACATGGAGAGTGAATATTGGATTTGTATACTTCAGGTGGACATAAACCCTTTTCTAAATGAATGTTAGTGCTAATGTTGTTTGCTGAATGTGTCAATAGAAAACTGCTAACATGTTCATTATAACAAGTTTAATATAATAATCTGTCAGTGTTGTGATTTTGACTTATTTAGATGCCTATAAGTGGCTAAAGAAATACATTAATGCATCCAAACCTACTGCAAGAGCTACTAGACAACTCTTTTTTAAAGTTGAAGTTGTGGCCCATTTAAACCAGTTAAATGAACTCTAATCTAAAGATTCTCACACACAGAAAAACAGCAGGCCATTTTACCATCAGTAGAAGTATAAAGTAATTACATAGAAAAGTTTTTAATCAGAACATGCCAAGTACACCTGATCTCAAATCCGTAGTCTTGACCATATCCAGTACATTTGACCAGTGGCAGGCCGTGCATGTTATAGCTGGGCCTTCAGTGCTGTCCTTCAGCTGAAACACCTCCTAATAATCTCATGATGGCGCCACAGCTACGGTTATTTGTTTCTAGTGGTGTAACAATACACGTATTCGTATTAAACCTTTCAGTACGAGGCTTACTAACCGAACAATACCTTTTGAATAATACTAGTGCATTTGGAAAATGCAGAAGCTTAAATTGTGGGAAACATAATGTTTTCTGTGAGGCACCGTGTGTGTTCTGGGAGGCTACGCTAAACTAGCTCAACAAACAATAACTCCGCACATGACGGGATGCTTCGTAATTAACGGACAATGCATATAGTCCAAATCTATATAACACAATGACGAGAACAAACTCACACAAACTCGCATTCTGCTGCACACTGGAGGGCCATTCAGATGTTAGATGTAAAGAAACAAACCAGTTGACTTAAAGACAAACTCCATCCTCCTTTCTTTGTTGACTAAGAGTTTAATCCGGTTAAATCACAACTCACTAATCAGTTTCTCCTCCTTCAGCCATTGAGTGTCACAATTCTCACGTGCTCGCCCACTGACCAATCACAGCACACGCTGCACCTCACTGCAGAGCTGCACCTGCACACTGAGCTGCACGTAATGCTGACGTAGCTATAGGCCAGCTAGCAGGCTCTGACACGTCAAAGAATACGCCCAACATGTCAAACTAAAGACCTGATTGGTTGAACACTATGACAATCATCAATATCGTCCCCATTCACTTAAAGTGCACATGGATTCACTTGTGAGTCTGCAGGCCTCTGCCTCTGTTCTTACCTAGAGACACAGAGGTGAAATCTGATTGGATAAAAGCTCTACTTAAAACAAGCTGCACTGGAAGCAGAGCAACTGAGGAAGACAGTAGCTGTGCAATGAGAACATAAGATAATGGGGAAATATTTATATAAATTATAATACATGTAGTGTATTTAAGAACAATGATTAAATTATAAAATAGTTATAACTTTGTGCTGGTCTTTGCATTCCTTGTTAAGTGAAATGTTGCTCGTGCAGAGATGTCAGTATTACGTTGCTCTATCACGTCTTAGATTGATGGTATATCTACTAACTGTAACCATGGCAGTCAAAGTGTCGCTGACGCTCCATTTGCTCTCTGGTTCAGGCTCAGCCATGTGTTTCTGAGCTCTGACTGTCCATTGCATTGAATTGTGATGGGAGCCTAAAAGACACAGAGAAGATGGTGTCTGGCTGTTCTTCTGACTTCATCCTCTATGATGTTCCCTCTCCCCCATTTTTGTTCTGTGCATGTGCAGTTTTCTAACACGCGGTCGAGGTAACACGCACTCTAGCAGCTCATCCGTCTGCAGCGTTAACTCACTGTGAGTTGTTACCTCTCTGTTACAATGTTTGAATCCTCCCATCACCTCCTCTGTCTAACCATGTCTTCCTCTGGTGTCATAATGTCATTCTTCTGTATAAATTGTCCGAAATAACATGATGTGATCACACCTTCTGATAGCGTCCGTTTCAATATCTCCGTTCCTGTGTTCTGTTTTTATTGTTTCCCGTAGATTTGAAGATAGTACATATCGTTGTTCACACTGTATGTGTTGATTATGTACATTTTCAGTTGTGATTCATTTCCCCAAGCTGGTTTTAAATAAGCTTTGGGCTTGTTTTATGCAGATGAAGAACACGACTGCTTAGTGGAAGCAAAGACAGATGCTGAGTGACTTCCTAGTTAAATACAGCAGTTGTTGAGTTACTAGCCTTCTTCATCGTCACTAAAAGAAGCTTTACTAACTTAATAACCATGAAGAAGAGGTAGTCACAATAATAAGACGACCAGATACTTTACACTCTACCACACTACATCCAAAATGGATTATTAAATGACTTTAAGACGACTAAGAGGCGGCTATAAGTTGTGTAATATGCACAACTTTGTTGCCTTCAAGCAAGAGAGGGTTTACCAGCCACGTCTTAGATCAGATCACACATCACCACTCTCTTATTATAAAGCATTTGGGCACATTGTTGTAATTTCATTTGGAGAAATCAAATTATCATCGGTAAAAAGCTCTGTAGCTCAAACACCTGAGAGGAACAGATTGGGTAAATGGATGCTCTGGAGTGCAGATTTCAGGTACATACAGACACCAGTACTTTTACACTGTAAACAGGTCAATGGATACACACTGTTTCTTTAGTTACATGTCGTGAGATATTAAAAGAAAAGCTATGAAATTAGGTTTAGGTTACTTTAATAACATCAGTTCTCTGAGGAGCATCAGTGTGATGTCCAGCTATGCGTCGTAGTGAAACATTGTAACAAATGCTATGAAAACCAAACATTTATTATGTTTGTCTCCTGTCCCCAATTATTTCCCTGCTTCTTCTCAGCAACATTTTCCTTTTGAGTTTTTGTATATTTCTTCTTCTGAAGCTTATTTTTCCCCTCTGTATTTCTGCCCATTTGAAGTTCCTTCTCCCCTTTTTGTGTTTGTAGGAGTTATGTCTGCACCCCAGTCCATCACTACCTGAGGTAAACCCAACCGCCTGCTAGCAAGGTGGTCCATGATGATGATCACATGCTTAAGAACATACTTAATCGTTATCTCATTATGTTCCATTCATCAAAGCAAGGCCATGTGAATAATACGCCGCCACCCTTCATTCTTCTCGTGCACACATTTGTAGGAGCTTCTCTGTTCATTCAGTAAGTCTGCACCAAGTATGCTTCTGTGGGGAAAGTTTAGTGAACAGACTTGTCTCTTACAGAGATGGCCTCGTAAGATGAAATCTCCCACTGTGAAGAGATAGCACTGCTTTTTTAACACACTCTCAAAAGAGCATGCATTCAACCATTTCAAAGTACTGTAACACACACAGACCGTGCGGTCAAAGCATGTAATGTGGCCATGCTTAGCCATGGACGAGCTCTCTCCACAGTAGACCATGGACCCAATGGACCCAGGGGTTTGCTGTGTTGGAAGCTCCATTGCACCTTGTTCATATTGTAAATCATTCAGCATGGAGGGAATGTGTGTGCCATCCTGAGATGTCAAATGAAATATACTACTGGTATTATGTGCCATGAAGTATAAAGTACATACATACTGAATGTGTCATGCCTGCCAGTGTATCCATTGGGAATGCTTATTCCCTTTGTAGAAATGACAAACACTGACATCAAGTGTGTAAAAATGATTTTATATGGTAATATGAATCTCAGGAGTTTTGGTTTGTCTGGTTCTTCTGCCCCTCCTCTAGTAAGGAGCAGCAGAAGTCGATAAAGACGATGTCGGTGTGGGAGCAGAGGGCCAACCAGCTGAGGAGGCAGAACCAGGCAAGCTGCGAGGCCCTCTACAGTGAGCTGGACCTCGAGGAGCGTCTCCACCTGACCTCGGCCCTCCACATCCGGCCCGACATGAAAACCCACCTTGACCGTCCGCTAGTTGTTGAGCCTTGCGAGGGGCCTTTGCTTGCTGGCCACCAGCACCACCATCACAAGCCCTGCATGCCAGAGGCAGCGGTGACTGCCACTGACCCTCCTCCTCCTGTGCCTCACCAGCCTCGGCACCACCACCGCCACAGAGACAGGGACCGGGCCAGAGGGAGACAGGAGACGAATGAGAACAGTGGCACCAGTAAGGACGGGGGCCATCATGTCCATCACAGCCACTCCAAAGACCACGAAGGCAGCCGGGGAAAAGAGGGGAAAAGTGAGAGGTCCCGCAGCCGAGAGAGAGGCAGGAGACAAAACCATCAGAGCTCAGTGGATGACAGCGGAGGTGGAGGAGTCACGAGCGAGAGAGAGCATCGGCATCATCATTCACACCGGCAGACCAGAGGGGGCAACGGGACAGTAAACAGTGGAGGCAGGGCAGAGCGAAGATCCCGCCACAAAGATGGACTATCGTCGAACAGGAATGGGGATCGACATTCCAGAGGAGACAGTGGAACCACTGGAAAGAAGAGGAGACATCGGACTCATGGATCCAGGGGCCAATCAGTAGAAGGAGAGGAGTCCAACGAAAAAGAGAAGAACCACAGTAACAGGTAAAAAAAATTCATTCTCTCATTGACTGACTATGCATATGTGTATGTCCCATAAATAAAAGAAATGATGTTATGTACTGCTATGTATAAGGAATATCTTGTTTTTGTCACATATTTTGATGTGCATTTTGGTTTCAGTGAATGCAACGACCTTAATAAAGTAATCACAATCCCTGCGTATTGCAGCTCCAGAAACCTCCTTCAAAACTTCGACAGTATTGGGACACTGTCCTTAAAGATGAAAGTCAGCATTTAAACCTCATCGTCACTGGCTTGAGAACGGAGCCAAACCAATGACAGCACGTCACTGTCCTCATCATTTTGAGTCCACTTGCCTTTTGGAATAGAGTAGAAATTGTTACTGAAAGAGCTCATCACAGAATTCAGTGACCCTGCAGTATTAGATGTTCTACTGGTCTGTAAATGTTAAGCCATATCCATCTGCATGTGTGACGTCAAATTGAATGCAAGTGACGATTTCATTGTTTAACCCCCAGGCCATCACGATGAGGTATTATTTGAAAATGTACAGTATATTAATATCCTTTCAGGGACAGATTTGGTGAAACAGAGGGGGCGTCCCTCGCCTTCTCCCCCCAGCAGGGCTCTGGGGGGGCCAGCTGGCCTCCTGACCAACCAGAGGACTCAGACAACCACAGGAACGTCAGAAGAACTGGCCAAACCTCCATCCAAATTCCTCCTGTGACTATCACCTCCCCACCTGGAGACCCCACTTTCATACAAAGTCAGTAACAGAATGCAGTCATAATTTAACTTCCATTGCAGACATTTTATTGAATGGTCTTTTTTTTCATAGCCACATAAAGTTAAACCGAGTATGGAGGAGATGTCCATTTTTGAGAAGAAAGGAACATGAGAAAATTCATAAATACATGAGTTTCTCCAGCGTGTGCCCCACAATCATTTTTTTTAAAGTATACAAAATAAAAGATTGTCTTGAATCCATGACTGGAGAAGAACAGGAAGACTGTCCAGCCAAAAGGTCTTTCATAGTGATTACAGAGTATGAGATTGTATCAAATACTTCACGGTTTGTAGCAGGAGACAGCCAGACAGCCAGACCTCGGGTAAACGGTAACAGGGAACATTCTTTCATGGTGTCATACTTTGCTATTCAGGTGGAAGAAGATATCAAATTTATTCTCCAATGGTGTTTCAAGGACAATAAATTAGATGTGATGATTGTTGCGAATTGCGATTCAATGCCACTCTGCCATGTCGATAGTTAAATTAATTTAATATAAATGACCTCCTGTATGTGGGGAGGAAAGAGGCCGCTTAGAGATAGTTAAATGTGAATGTCTCCAGTCTTGCCTGTTTTGCTTTAATTCATCTATCTTCTCTCCTCAGTGAAGAGTATTGACTGTGAGACAATGCCCACGCATGAGAGTGGACCCAGACCCATCCTGCCTTACAGTTCTATGTTCATCTTTGGACAAACCAACCCGTAAGTCACCTCCACCTCCAAGGACCACCCACATGCTATGTGAGACAATGTTTGCTCTTTCATTTCATATCTATGAACGATCATATCATCACATAAATACAAGGAATCTGTCAATCCTACACCACAGCCCTAAACCTTCACATGGACACACTGTCAATCAGCAACACACTCACAGCAGCCGGTAGTAACTGATCTCTGTGTCGCACATTAACACCGATCATTTTAACTCAAGCTTCTCCACTCACTTGTGTGCTGATGAGAATAACTTGATTTATGAGGTCAGAGTATGTTTGGCTGTAATAGTTTATGTCTACATATCTACATAGATTCCATACGTACAGTAGCTGCGGCTTCTAGCCTGTATATTTACCTTTGCTATATAATGCATTATAAACCTATGATGCACTATAAACTGCTTATAACACTGTAAGAATATAGTTGCAACCACTCATAAATGTTCATAATGCATTATAATTGCTTTACACTCACTGACTGATCATAGTGTATTATAACTGGTCTAGTTGTAATACATGCTTTTATAATGCATTATAATATGCAGTATAATCATATAATGCATTATACGTATATTTAAAATGTGTTATAGATGTGGGCTTGCAAAAAAATATCAGTGGCCAGCAACTATAAATTATTATGGCACTTGTCTTTACAAGTCATTATAAATTATTTTTATAAAGCCTTCAAATTTAATATTTCGGAGTGTTTCTACCTATAATTATTCAGTGCTATAAGCAGATTATAACACATTATGAGTATGTTTATAATGAGTTTTAGGATGTGTTATATGTAACATGGAAAATGCACTCCACAGAGTTCCTGCTCCAAATACATCAAGCTCCAAAGATCCACCTAATCACAATCACTCAAGCTTAAATCAACACAGAAAGCAATCAGGATATACACGTTAAGCTATCTGCATCATATGGGCATCATATCTTGATAAGAGCATTATTCGTGGGATGTACAGATGACTGTGAGGTTGTAGGTACTGCTTCGTGACAACTTTCCCTAAATGTGTGACACATTTCTTGCCCGTTTGATGTGTATTTCTATTTCTTGGATTCCCTGACTGCTTTCTGTGTGGTTGTTGGGGTGAGGCCCCACAATACAATACATTTTGCAATATACCTAACTGCAAATGATGCAGTGAGTCAACATCTGTTTTCACTATATATTATTGCAGCAAAACAGTTTTGTCAGTCAAGCAAACAGATTGACCAACACTGTCATAAAAACGTGTCTTCATGTTGCATCATGCACCTGAAACATGGAACTGTTTGTATTGCAGTCCACAGAGCCCTATCCTGCTGGATTTACCCTCAGCAGCCTCTAGTGGACTGAAAAAGCAGTTTTACTGATATGTTTAATTTGTATTAGCAATATTAATAGTTTCAATAATAAAATATCAATACTTGGTGCCCGTGTATGGATACTATTGCGACACTATGCTGTCTCCCCCCCTATTGGATTCCTCCTCAGTTCCTGTGTACAGTAAGCTTCCTGTGCGTTGGAACGTTAGCGTTGGAACATTAGCATTGGAACGTTACAAATGAACGGTGTTTCTCGTGTGAACTCGTGTGACGAACACAGGTGTGCTCCCTCTGCTGCTGCTACAGCCTCATGTCTGTTTCACACCTGTGTCCACCGCTTGCTGTTCCTCGACCTGCCTTTCTCTCCGCAGGGTGAGGCGGTTGTGTCACTACATTGTGACTCTACGTTACTTTGAGATGTCCATCCTGGTTGTCATTGCTATGAGCAGTATTGCTTTGGCAGCAGAGGACCCTGTGTGGACCAATGCCCCTCGCAACAACGTGAGTCACACAGTGTCGTTGAACTTCATGCACATTCAAATGAATATTCATCAATAGTCAAATATTATGATATTCACAACAACACGTTATAATAACTACACGCTGTCAAGCATTAGTTAAGTATGAGTAAACACTTAATTCATCCTTTATAAAGCATTGTTCCTACATTAACCTCATTAGTATGCAATTCATAACAGTTATAAATGTTTTATTCTTGATTAATAAGCTCGTCTATTATGTGTTTCATATTTTATAAATGATGGATTCCACATTTGTAAATGAAGTATTATATATTTTACAAACCAATTATTAAGGAGTTGTAGATGATTAATAACATAATTTATAAAGTGTTAGTAAATAATTAATAACCTATTTAGATTTACATTATTCATGCATTTATATATATAATGATTTAGATATGCACTGATGGTTAGGGACTATGTTAATACATGCTTTATAAATGCATATTAATATTAAAATTCATGATTAATTAAGATAGTTACTACTCGTTAGTAAAGTGTTTTGTGTGACCTCATCTAAAGACTATCTATGCCTTATAAAGCATTTATAAATGACATTGAAAGGCCAGCAGTGCCTCATAACCCATAAAAGTCTCAGTTATTTTCTTAACAGAAAAGTCAAATAGACAAAACACAAAGTGATCAAGAACATATCAATATTTATTACAAGATGCAAACAATGTACTCGTAAATACCTCTCAGCCATTCATTCATGTAAGAAACAAAACAAACTGGCTGCATATAAAACATTTGTAAATGTACAACTGGAGCTAACCAGGAGCTTTGCATATTAGTTAACATTTACTTATTTAATTATTCATTTTAACCGAGCATGTCGATCTCCACTGTTCACACTTTTCTTCAGTTGCATGTCCCGATCGCAGCCGGACGAATCTGCTCATTGTTTGCAATAAATAATGCTTTGGACGGCGGTGGTTTTAGGAAGACATCCATGAGATTATGATGAGGTCACACAAAATACTAACGAGTAGTAACTACCTGAATTAATCATGGATTTCAGTATTAATACGCGTCTATAAAGCATGTAATAACATAGTCCCTAACCATCAGTGCATATCTAAATCATTATATATATAAATGCATGAATGACATCTAAATAAGTTATTAATCATTTACTAACACTTTATAAAGGATGTTATTAATCATCTACAACTGGTTTTTAATATATATAATCCATCATTTATAAAGTATGAAACACATAATAGACGAGCTTATTAATCAAGAATAAAACATTTATAACTGTTGTTATGAATTGCATACTAATGAGTGTTAATGTAGGAACAATGCTTTATAAAGGATGAATTAAGTGTTTACTCACACTTAACTAATGCTTCACAGCGTGTAGTTATTATAACGTGTTACCAGAACATGGATACTACGTATCACCTCAGTAAGTTATTGACTCTATTCAATGCAAACACATCATCGTGCAGTGCCTGAAACAGACCTACAGACTGGTATGATATCAGTGATGATATTTCAGAATAACTGTCTGTTTCAGCACTGACTGTGTCTCTGTTCTGCAGGTGCTCAGATATCTGGACTACGCCTTCACTGGTGTCTTCACCTTTGAAATGGTGATCAAGGTAAGCATGGAGGAAAATACACATTCAGAGTACTAATGACTTCATTGGCTTCGCTGCACTTGTCTTGCTCAGTTAAACTGTGATGGCGATGTATTTAACTACAATTGATCCGAATGGAGTTGCTGACTCAGGCAGCCATTGTGACCACTGTTGTGTACTCAGGATAGCAGGCTGCACTAGTCTCCCTTTGTATTTACTATCCACTTTACTTTTACATAAATCAATGGTGATTAAATGTAAAATGATTATTACATCATTTACCATATAGGTACTTTCGGGGCAACAATAATAATCACAGAATATATTATATAATAGACTCACTGAGTATATTATAATAACATAATTTAGATCTATATCCATAAAGTACCATAAAGAGAATACCAGCTGAAGAGATAATGGTGTGTTTGGTGTAGATGGTGGACCTCGGCCTTCTGCTTCATCCTGGAGCCTACTTCAGAGACCTGTGGAACATTCTGGACTTCATAGTGGTCAGTGGGGCGCTGGTGGCTTTTGCATTTTCGTAAGTTCAACTCTCCTCCCTTTTTACCATAACTTTGTTAAGAGTTAATCCTGATCACCCTGATGGTTCGTGGTGGTCTAACCTGGTGTAATGTGTATATATACAGACAACATGTAATGTGGACTGTGGTGGCAGAAACACATCTTACAGCATCTCGTCTGACAAAAGTTCACATTCAGGCTGCTTCTGTGTGCTCATGAAACATCTGCTCACACTCTATTGTGCAACAACCCTGTCACAACTCCCCAACCAATAGAATGCCAGGTGTAGTGTTGACCAATGGTGTTGTCCCTGCCTTGTTGCGGGTGAGTGTCTCTGATGGGCGGTTACCATTTAACCTCGTCCTCCAAGGCTTTATTACGTACGCTGGCTTTTTCTACCACTTTTGGAATGAAATTAATTTTCTTATACCACAATAAAAAAATCTGAAGTATAATCAATAAGTGTTGCTCTCAAATAGAAAGACGACGCTCTAGAATCAAGATCGGAAACATATCGTAGTAGTAGTAGTATGTTTGTATCAAGAAACAGAAGCTGGAAATGTTCTGGTAAAGACTGTCACACTGTTACCGGGCAGATCCCACTGTGGTGGATACACCTCCCCTCTTGGGGGGTCCGGGAGCATGCTCTGTGCTAGATTTATGAAGGATGTTGTGCTCTAGTAAATGATTTAAGCATAAACAATATGAATGGCGATGGAACGGCAAGAAAGTCTCACCCACAATGCATGGTTAACGAGACGGGGTGCGTGTTTCCAGACGGGTCGGGGGGTCGCTGACATGACTGTAGAGGCAGCTGTTTAAAGAGTCTCATAAGAATCCACAAACAAATGTCAATGCACAAATACATTCAGAGTGATTTGTGTCTGTAAATCTGTATCTGTGCTTTGACCTGAGGCCAGTGGTGAACTTTAACTGAGGCCAGTGGTGAACTTTGACCTGAGGCCAGTGGTGAACTTTGACCTGAGGCCAGCGGTGAACTTTGACCTGAGGCCAGCGGTGAACTTTGACCTGAGGCCGGCGGTGAACTTTAACCGAGGCCGGTGGTGAACTTTGACCTGAGGCCGGTGGTGAACTTTGACCTGAGGCCGGTGGTGAACTTTGACCTGAGGCCGGTGGTGAACTTTGACCCGAGGCCAGTGGTGAACTTTGACCCGAGGCCAGTGGTGAACTTTGACCCGAGGCCAGTGGTGAACTTTAACCCAGGCCGGTGGTGAACTTTAACCCGAGGCCGGTGGTGAACTTTAACCCGAGGCCGGTGGTGAACTTTAACCCGGGCCGGTGGTGAACTTTGACCCGAGGCCGGTGGTGAACTTTGACCCGAGGCCGGTGGTGAACTTTGACCCGAGGCCGGTGGTGAACTTTAACCCGAGGCCGGTGGTGAACTTTGACCCGAGGCCGGTGGTGAACTTTAACCGAGGCCGGTGGTGAACTTTAACCGAGGCCGGTGGTGAACTTTGAC